CAGTTTGCTTTGGAAGATGGTACTCACAGTTTCTTTGGGAGATTACTCACAGTTTCTTTGTGATCCCCAGGTGAAGCTGATCGATTACATCCACAGGCAGCGACAGTGCAAGCTGAGCGTGCCCCTGAGCGACAGAACAGCCGAGCTCAACAGCTACCCCCGCTTCAACGACTGGCTGGACATCGTCAACGTCAGGAAAGAGGTGGTGCAGGTAAGGGAGGRGAGCCCTCAGCCCTTCAGTACCTTCCCAGCTGCCTCTGCTGGGTCTGAGAACACAACTTAACCTTTACTACCTTTTAGATATTAATAGTACTGTGCTACGCTGTGTTCTGTGTCCAGCATYAGCCAAAACAGGACCACTGTTACATAATCACACACACACACACACATGTAGAGTTCAGTCCACTGACAGCTAAACAAGGCAGAAAAGGATTTTTCTATTCTTTTTCCCATTTTTGCCTCTGCAGGCTAGGTCACAATGTTCTCATTCAGTTTCCTTTGATCGTTAAATAACCAAAAAYTATCTTTGACCTCAGCAGGAATTTGCCAGGGTGAAAAATTCCACAAATTTTCATGGAAGTTATTCCAGCTTGGTTCTGATATAACTAAGTTGTCTCTGGACTAAGTTTTTTTTTTATTTTATTTCCTACTGTTCTTTTTGAATGTGATGCTGGCGCTGCCTTCCAGCCCAGTGAGGTTTTGGGTGGCACAGCCAAAGGTGCAGCAGTGACAGTGAGAGGACAAAAGCAGCCTGTTGCCGTGGCCAAACTGCCAGGCTCCCAGCTAGTGTTGGTTTCTAAGGTTACTGGAATTGCCTGAGTCTAAAAGAATGTCTTTGTAGCTCTTTTATAAATCCTTTGTGATGTCTGCAGAACTGGGGGCAGGGAAGAGGTGAACAAAAGGGGGGAGGGAGGTGGACAGTTCAAATCTGCCACATCCTGCTAATTCAGGGAGCAGAGAGGGTTGAGATTGCCCTTCTGTATGTGTGGTCACTAAAAGGGGTGAACAAATTCAAATACAAAAACAAATTCAAATTTAAAAACGCAAATAATAGGTTTTGGTCTAAGGCAGAAGGAATTTTCCAGCTCTTTATTATTTTGATTCGTGYTCTCTTGCTGCCCCTTTCCAAGCAGTGTCCAGTGAAATGAACTTTTCTGTTCTCTGCAACAGAAATGTAAGAARTGTTTAAAGCACTGAAATTCCTATGGGATTCCAATTATATTGTTATTTTTTAAGAGTTCTGCATCCATCTCATGCAGCTGCAGACAGCTTCTGTACCACTTGTATGAGCTGGACAGCAGAACTGCAACATCCCGTGGRTCATTAAAATAATTTCTGAGTAGGCATTCTGGAACGGGCTGTGAGCTGAGGGGAGTGTAAATAGCTGGGCTAATAAACTAAGTGCTCTGTTCTTGCAGTGATTTTTTTTGGTCCTCTTATTTCACTGGTCAGAAAATAGCAATGCAGCCACTGTTGGTGTTTGACACTGACATCAGCAGAGAGCTGTCTGGGATGAGTTTCCTTTCAGGAATTACTCAGGTATCATGGGATCATTCCTGCTGTTTAGATTTCATACATCATGTTGAGCTGCTTTTCAGCTGAAAGCTTTCAAAATGGAAATCACTGATAGGAGGAGCTTTAATAGGTTAGTTATTRCAAAATCCAGAGTGGTTTCCCACTTTGTGCACGCTGCCTGGGACAGGACTGGAGGGGAGGAACAGACAGGGCTGAACAGRTCATGCTGTGAAATGGGGACCCTCAAGTGGCTCTGGTTCTGTGCCTGGTGTACAAGGAACACTGGGAGCAGCTTCCCATCTCTCATGTACTATTAGCTCACTGTAAAATGGAAATAGCAATGCTGGGTTTCCTTCCTAAGGCTGCCAGAAATGGTGCAGAGAGAAGGAAAACTGCTTGAGTGTCACAGTGTGTTCACGTAGGCACATAGCCCTCTCTTCTTGTGCCTTTTAGACTCYGAAACTTGTTGGAGAAGTTGCCAGGTACCTGTGGAGTCTCAGAAGAGCTGCTCCAGAGCCCTGAGAGCTGAACAGAACAGCAGGTCTGGCACAGGAGGAGGTGCAGTGGAGGGCTCTCTGTGCTGCTGCTTGTCAGGGACAAGCCAGAAGAAAGGCCTGAGTTCATGGGGTTTTTGCTTTTTTAAATGGTTCTGATTCCCTTTGCATTTCTARTGTTACTGGAGGGAGTATTTTCAAGACTGTGCTAATCTGTGACATAACACCGTTGAAAAGCAGCCTAATTGCAGGAGTTCTTTAGCTCAGCGGTGAGAGAAACAATGCTCTGTTTCTCTGTCTCCCCTCCCCTCCCCTCGCTCCCCCCAGTCCTCTCCCAAATAAAGCTGCCATGCAGGGAAGCACAGAAGCTCCCAGGCTCTCCTGTCAGAAATAGAGCAGCCGCTCCAATTTAGAATATCTGCTGACTCCTCTACTCCAGAGCRAAGACTATTTTTGCTCGGTGACTTGCTCCAGACATTGTGAAGCTCGAAAGCTCTGGTGATTATAATTGTTGGGCTCCTTKATTTCTTTGAAAACCTATATTTAAAACAAGAATAATGACTGCTTAGAAAATCCTTTAGTTCTGGACGAGATTATAGTAATAACAATGCACTGTTTATGGCGTTGGGCAACAGCTAAAGCTGCCGAGAGCGTGGAGAGCAGCGAGCCGGTGACGCTGCGCCGAGTGCGAGGGCTGGGCTGTGCTGACCTCGCAGGTCTGCAGGTAGGTGGGCAGTGCCAACCTGCACTTTGGGATCYTCTCTGCTCCCTGGGAATACACAATTCCCCCGGGGTAAGCAAACTTGGAGCCCCCGCCCCAATCTGTGCTATTTCTGTTGCTTTGTTATTGTTCSTCTAATCAGTTACCAGATAGATTTTTATCATAGAAAGTGGTAGCAGGCTCAGCTTTTAATGCTGTGCTATAACTTGCTTTTTAAGTATTTTTCTAGGAAATGAATGCTTGGAGTCCTTGTTTTTGGCTAGGAGTTCTAGAAATTKATTAGTTCTAGAGATTGATTAATTCTAGAGACTGTGCGTGTAGTTTAATACCAAAAATGATGTATAAATGGTTAAATATGGTGGATTGAAACTGAGCAAAGAGGTACTTGAACTGAGACTTAAAAAAGACAGGACAAGGAACCTTACAGACAGAAGGTGTGTTTGTGCTGTGTAGTTGTCTTGAGTGGGTAAGAGCTGTTCTGAAAATGGTCCTAGAGAAATACATTGATCTGAATTGTCCTGCTTGCCTTGGGAGCTGCAGTCAGGAATTRAGAGGGGAGTGGGAGGGAAGGAAGATGAGAACAGAGTGCAGTCCCCTCTCTTAAGCTGATGGAAGAAGTCTCTTGCAGAGGTGTTTACTGGGTTCTGGGCTTGGGGCATGTTTACCAAATAGAAGAGACTAAAAAAAAAATCTGCTGCTTATTTATTTCAGCATAGAAAGTGATTCTCTTTGCCTTTATCACTGTGCTTCCTAGAAACATAACTATTATGTYTGTTCCCACATGTAACTTGTCACTGTCTTAAAAAGTAACTTAAGAACAGAGTCATCTTCTTATCATCTTCTGAAGCATGTCTGGGCCAGCCCTGCTGGCTGTGGAGCAGGGGTGCCAGTCAGTCAAGCCTGGAAAGCTGTTTTTAGAGTGGATAACTGTCAGACACGGGGAGGGGCACATCCTGCCCCAGGACTGCTGGCCTTGAGCAGACCTGTGCCACCAGGGAGACTGTGGGGCAATGGAGCAGGGCTGTGCCACCAGAGAGACTGTGGGCAGATGGAGCAGGGCTGTGTCACCAGTGGGGCACATGGAGCAGGGCTGTGCCACCAGTGGGGCACATGGAGCAGGACTGTGCCACCAGAGAGACTGTGGGACACTGGAGCAGGGCTGTGCCACCAGGGAGACTGTGGGGCACATGGAGCAGGGCTGTGGTCGGGGCTGCTTTGTTTTCCATTTGGGAATGTGTCTGGGTGCCAGTGGGTACCTCTGGGTGCCAGTGTGTACCCTTCTCTGCAATACCTGGGAAGCTCATCTCAGCATTGATGCCAAAGACCTGCAGAGCTCAGCAAGGTGGGGCAGTGCTGGGCACACCAGGAACAGAGCTTGTAACCTGAGCAGGAATTGTCACCAAGAGCCTCCTGCTGCCCTGTGAAAGTGCCCCTGTGGAGGATGAGGCACTCTGTGGAGGGTGAGCACTGGCCTGGGGTTGCTGCCATGAGCCCGTGGCAGAGGGTTCTGTTTGCACAGTGTGGCCCAGCTTGGAGCAGATCCCTTGTTGGAGGAGTTGTGAGGGGGTTTTGTGTTCATCCTGTGGATGGGGGATAGAAGAGGCAGATCTGCCCGAGCCTATCAGGTTTCCACAGCTGTATCCTCTCATCTCTTTCTGTCAGCATATCTGCATGAGCAGCCATGAGGACTGGCTGTTTGCTGGGGATTTCCATGGCACTGGCAGCTGGAGCTCTGGCTGGACCTCGAGATAGCAGAGATCCTGGGTGTGCTAATTGTGTGTATGCAAATGAACTCCTGCAGCCTTCCTTGAGCCAAAACTTGGTGCTGTGTTCCAGCTGAARGCCCCTCCCCAGTGTAAACAGCTCTTATAAAAAAAAAAAAAAAAATCCCTACCATTGCCAGGGCTCCCCTTCCCTGCCAGGGCATCCAGGTGCCCCTTGCAGCCTTGGGCACTGTGAACCCTTCCTGAATTGAGGTCAGGCCAWGGGATCTGCAACTGCTGCATGTCTGCCCTGCAAGAGTGGTGACAGCAGCTCTCCTGTCCCCAAAGAGCCTGCTGGACAGAATGCCCTGAACCTGTCAGCTCCWCTCCAGCCTCTGCTCGAGCTGGAACAGTCAGGAGGGTGATGTTAGGTGAAACTGTGGCCTGGTTATGCTCACAGCTTAATGCAAGCTGGAAATTTCAAGTGAGAGGCTTTCCAGAATGCCCATAAAATCTCCAGGAATTTAATATTACAACAATTTTTCAGTACCTTCATCGCAGGGCACCAGAAAACCAGTGCAAAATAACAACTAGCAGGCACAAGATGTTCTTAAGAGCATCTTTACATGCTTTGCTTAGAGCTATCAGTGGGAATTTAAGCACCTTATGTAATGGGCTTTCTCCTCTAGCATCTGCTGCTTCACGGGAGGATGATTGGAGGGGGAATGTATTGATTTAAGAGGAGGCATTTGGGGCCTTGACAACTGTCCAGCTTTACAGGAAGAGCTGTGGCTACTGGGTCGAGGAGCAGGTCAGGCTGATTTTACACAGTGCCTGCAGCAGCATTAGCTACGTAGGCTTATCTGCAGGGTGGAATCTTCACCAAAAATAACCCCTCCWCTGTGTTAGATACCAGCATTTTTGCCATGTTTCAGGGATTTAAGTTGGACACCAGACAAGATTAAAGACTGTTGTGAACTCTTCACCCTGACTAATTGAGACTAACCSTTGGATGGCTCCTTGGATGCACTGGTACTCACTTTTCTCTCTTTAGACATGTGTGCAATGACGTTCAGTCTGTGTCTGATAAGCAGGAGGGCTTTATAGAAAAGCCCTCTTACCTGTTGTAGGGAAGAATAATTTCCTGCTCTGGACATTTTTGCATCCCTTCTGCTGAGCAATGCATGGTTAGGGTTTAGATTTTGCAGGCAGTTATGAGGTGCTGAAGATTGAAAGCAGTTTCTGTTTTCTCCTGCTTTTTCTCTCCTTTTTTCAGTCTGACCTTATTAGTAGAGTACTGAATATCTTAGTAGTAGTCTGAATTAATAGTCTGAATATCTTGCAGCTTCTCCTGTCAAGACAAGGTGAGCTTGGGGAGGTGGTATTGAGCTTGGCCTAAAGCAAGCCTTCAATCTGCATTTTAAAAGCTTTTTAAAGCTGTTTTTTTTTAAAGCTTCAGCACCCACTGAAGAGGCAGGTAAAGAGAGGTCAGCTGGACCCACATTTCTCACCCTGAGTGGTGRAGAGTGGAAGTAACCCCTGTGCAAGGCCCCAGAGCTGCACTGAGTGCTTGGAGCTCCTCAAATGCCCCTGAGCAGGGCCCTTCTCCCCCCAGAGCAGCTGAACCAGCCCAGCAGCAGAACCTGTTTGAGAGCCATCCTGAACCAGTGACCCTCCACTGTCACACTGCCTGGGGGTGACACACAGCCAAGGCACAGCAGGCCAATCTTACAGGGATCAGGTTGACCAGTTTTATATTAAGCCACCACATATGTGCAGCACATGAGTGGCTGTTTAAAGAAAGCCTCTTACTTCCCTTCCCTCCCTCCCTCCCCCTCTTTGAAGGCTTATTTCTTTTGTCGCGTGTCATGGGGGCTGGCAGCAGGTTCACAAAGTCTGAGCACTCCCAGCTCAAGGTCACTGGAATTGTTTAAATGTAATCTCCTTTTCTGTACTTTCTACTTTCCTACAACTTGTRTTCTGTCTTTCTGAAATTAAACTATTGAGCAAAAGAGGAGCTTGGACGTTGTTGTGGGTGCAGAGCTGGGCCTTGTGTGAACCATYACACACCAGTCAGCTCTGGGCAGAGACTGTGCCCTGAAAATGGATGAGGCAAAGGAATTTCTAAAGAGCTCAGTAACTTGGTATCTCCAAAAAACTGTTTTCAAGTGTTTTCCCGCAACCAGCAAGGCTTGAATCCTTGATCCAGCTTGGAGGTGGGTTCCTGCCCCAGAACAGGCATTGGAGAAACCAAATCCCCAGCAGTGCTGCCCCCAGTCCCACCAGCTGGCCCTGCATTCYAGCTGCCACTGGCTGTGGTGGGAAAGCCTTCATTTCTTCCACTTTCCCAACTGACTTGCTACCAGCTCTGATAAGTTCCTGSTTTCATGCTCATTTAAATTCCTGGCCTCCCCTTGAGTCAGCTGTGGTTTGTGTTCCATCCAGCTCAGGSCACGTGACAGAGGATGCAGGATGTGTTTCTTAGACTCCTGCCCTTTCTTMATTTATTCTTTTTCTTTGCTCCATGCCACAGTTACTAAAAATGGACACTCTTTGTGTTGCCACCTACGAAGCTCCAAAGGTTGGGGTTGTTCAGCACTGTCACAGCTGAAMGTCCTGCGTCAGCTCTCAAAAGCAAGAGTCTGTGTTAGGAAAGATGCAATTGTTAAAGGACATTCAACGCATTCACATTTGCTTTTGAGTCAGAAGTGGGGTTTAAGGACTAGAGGATTTCAAGCTTTTTGTTTCTCCAAGCAGTGAGTCACACTTCTGAGCTTCCCCTTCAAATAGAAGTTCAAAGCCTTTTATATAGTTTGATTTCAGGAGTTGAAACTTTAGGATAGAGGCCAAATATTGTGAAATTTGTGATCTCATTGTGAGAATAGGCAACAGGGAGGTTTGTTTAGGCAGAACTTTTCAGGGAAATTCCTGGGTATCTGGGCTAAGTATCCTGGTTTTGTTTATTAACCACAATTGCTGCAGACTTAAACTGGAAACATTTGAATGGGGGAAGAAAGAGAGACACAGCTCACTTCTGTGTCAGGAAATACCAGATCATTTTGTGCTTTCCAGACTCTTGTATCTTTTGTGTCTGCCTGATCTGATCACTGGGGGGCTTTGGTGTATTAAGATGTAGAAGGAGCTCTGCACAGATATCTCTYCAGGCAGGATACGAGTAAGGCTTGTTCTCTGATGAAGGAAAAACTGCTTGAGGAGAAGGCCACTATCATTATCAAAACATTTCTTTTTTGTTCAAAAAAAGAAGTAATTTTCCTCACTGTTTCTGGTTTTCACTTCACTACTGAAAAGCCAAACATCCTTATCTGACACTTTTYCAGGTTTTAGCCCTTTTTTGTTTATGACTCTATTTTTAACAAAAAAGTTAAGTTTCAGTAGTAGCTTTGCAAAAATTTTCCCCAATGAGAGAAGAATATTTCGATTTCCTGTAATCCTAAGTGGAATAGCAGAGGATGACCAGTCCTGGAGGTGTGGGGAGGGGAGAGAGCAGCTGTGGGCACTGCTGGCACTGTCAGAGCCCAGGGCAYTGCCAAAATCAGTAAATGGTGAGTCAGGCCAGGCTGTGGGGCACTGGCACTGCTCAGAGTACACAACAGGTGACACTCGTATTTATACACCAAGAGAAACAAAAAGCGTTCCTCTTGTTTGCCTGCAGAGAATACCAGAGGAGCTGACCCTGGATGCCTTACTAGAAATGAATGAGTCCAAGGTGAAAGAAACAATGAAGARATGTGGAGCCAGAGATGAGGAGTGCTCCAGGCTCAACGGGGCCCTGAGCTGCCTGCGGAAGGTGACAGAGTCAGGTACAGTCTGCCTTATTCTCCTGTGGAATTGGGGTCCCAGCCCCATTTGGGGGACATTCTGTCTTTGGGATGTTCTGTAACCACTGTCAGCTTGTGGCTCTTGGGTGKAAGTGAAGGTGCAGTGATCAAACGTATCTAGAGCTGKGAATTTGGTTTGGTTTTGACATCAAGTCAGAKAAATAAATGGAAATAAATGGRYGTAGGARTATCCTCTCCTACTCAGTAGAGATATATCCTTATTAACCCTTTCTGCTCAGAGTTGTATCTAATGCTCCAGTTCATTCTCCATGGGTCCTTGACTTACATACAACCAGATTCCTTGTAGATGATGCCCTCCCCAAATATTGCCAGCTCAGAGAAACCCTGTCACCTTCCCCAGCCACTTCCAAAAATCTGTTTGTTCAGGAGCCTCTCCCAGCAGACTGGTACTCACATACATCACATCTTTCTTTGTAACAGTGATMAATCTGTCACTGAAAGGTGATGTTTCCTGTTGGTATTATGACAGTTCATCCATTTACAAATCATAGGGATTAGTTCATGGAAAAAGTCAGCAAACAGCTCAGTTTCATATTTCCTTTTTTCTAATCTTTCTTGTCCCAGGCTGTCAAATATTTCCCATCCACACTGTAAAACCGGTCATTGCTCAGGAGTCATAGCATTCACCAGTTAGAAAGAAATGGCATTTTTAAAAATGCAGGTCTGTGTCTCTGAAAAGCTGAGATGAGGCCCTGTGTGGAGCTTTGCTGAGGCTCGGGACAGAGCATTGCTCGGTGACAGTGGCACAAACAGCCCTGCCTGGGACACAGATGGCTCTGTGCCAACAGTGTCCACACTGCCCGGCCCTCACTAACCCTGCTCCCTTGGACAGTGACAGTGACACACAGCCCTGCCTGGGACCCAGTGCCCACAGTGCCCACAGTGCCCTCCCAGCCGGGCCCACACTAACCCTGCTCCTTTGGATGGTGACAGTGACACACACAGCCCTGCCTGGCACACAGTGCCCACAGTGCCCGGCCCTCACTAACCCTGCTCCCTTGGATGGTGACAGTGGCACACACAGCCCTGCCCAGCACACAGTGGCCACAGTGCCCACAGTGCCCGGCCCTCACTCACCCTGCTCCCTTGGATGGTGACAGTGGCACACACAGCCCTGCCCAGCACACAGTGGCCACAGTGCCCACAGTGCCCGGCCCTCACTAACCCTGCTCCCTTGGATGGTGACAGTGGCACACACAGCCCTGCCCAGCACACAGTGGCCACAGTGCCCACAGTGCCCGGCCCTCACTAACCCTGCTCCCTTGGACAGTGACAGTGACACACACAGCCCTGCCTGGCCCACAGTGCCCTCCCTGCCCGACCCACACTAACCCTGCTCCCTTGGACAGTGACAGTGACACACACAGCCCTGCCTGGCACACAGTGCCCACAATACCCTCTCCACCGGGCCCACACTAACCCTGCTCCCTTGGACAGGAGGTGAACTGAAGGACGATGTGCCCGTGGCCCTCCCCGAGCGCCGGGACAGCTCCTCCTCGCAGCCAGAGCCGCTGGGCCCCGCCTGGTCCCCGAGCACCCCGGCCAAGGGCAGCCAGCAGCAGCAGCAGCCGCGCTCCGTGTCGGTGGGCACGGCCCCTCCCTGCGAGCCCCCCGCGCCCAGCCACGGGCCCTGTCCCTACACAGAGACCCTGCTGGAGCCCCTGGTGCTGCCGACGGCCGCGGGCAGGCCCAGGACTCCGCACAGCATCACCGTCACCCCCCCGGCCACGCCGCAGCCCAAGCGCCGGCACCGCCTGAAGCCGCCGCGGACGCCGCCGCCGCCCTGCCGAAAGGTGTTCCAGCTGCTGCCCAACTTCCCGACCCTCACCCGCAGCAAATCCCACGAGTCTCAGCTGGGCAACAGGATAGACGAAGTTCCTCCCATAAAGTAAGTTCCCTCCCTGACTGGAGCTGGGGCTCTCCCTGACAAAGATTGCCCTGCGTAGGCAGGAGAATTTTAGCAACCTCAGGAGCTTGAGGAGCAAAGCCAGAGTGTSATAAACCTGACAGCACACGCTGCAGGCAGCAGTTCCTGCTCTAGCAGAATGTGTACCTGTCACAGGAACATCAGTGCYTAAAAAAAAATTCTTTTTTTTTCTTTCTAGGTTCGGTAAGCGATGCTTGTGGGGTGTCTGCAGTGCCTTGCTGAGGGAGAAGACCCTGTGCTTGTCAGCTCCCTGTTGGCCATCCCTGGGCAGCCTCTGGAGGTTCTCCACCAGCCCTCCTATCCCAGAGCTTCTGTTAACTGAGCAGGAGCCTGCCACAGAACTGCAGGGTTTTACTTGGTCATTGTTGCACCTGGTATTTCTAAGATGACACAAGGCAAAGGAATTCTGTTTCAAGGGTTTAAGTAAGGGGTTTGGGTGGGAGTGCTTATGTGTGACCTCAGACAGCTGGTTCTGGTGCCTCTTGGTACAGGAAATTTCATATCTAACCGTTTAGTGGCTTTGGATATGCATTGCCCAGTGTTTCTGCAGTGAAATTGGACAGTTTGTGCATCCTTTTGAGGAAGCTTCAGCGTGTGCTGGGATGTGGGGTGCTCCCTCTGCTGCTGTGGAGCCTGTTCATGTTCAGTGTTCAATAGCTGGCAGGGGCAAGGCTGGGTCTRTCCAGGGCCATTTGGAGTTCTGGCCATCCTGAGGTGTGTCCCAGACACAACCTGTAACCTCATGGAAGCTAATGGAGAGAGACTGGAGCAGCTTGGAAAGTGTCCAAAAATATCAAAGTATTAAAAAAAAAAGGATGGAAGTTCAAATAAGGCTATTATAGCACTGCACATATAGCAAATGCCCTTTAAAATAAAAATCCCAGAAATTACTTTCAGAAATAGAAAGATTGTGAAATGAAAATATCAGCAGAAATCTGAGCATTTCCCTGGGGAGAGTGATATAATTGGTGCAACAAATGAAAAAGGCATTAGAATACATCCAGACAGAAATGAAGAATTTTGGTGCTTGTCTTCATATAGACCTATTGGCTGGGTTAAAGTGTCTGCTGTGGGCTCTGTTGAGTCCCAGACAATCCCAGACTGTTTGATTTGAACTCCTCAGTGAGGATTTAACCATCTGACCCAATGTTAACAGCCATCTTTACTGCTGTGTTGGGATTATTTGGATGGCCACACTGGACCAGCAGCATTCCTTGGGGAAGCAGCGAGCCATTCCAGCTGTTCCAAGAGGCTGAGCATCACAGATGCCTTCACAAGTTCACCGGACTAATGATAAAAAAGACTGTGGTGCCATCTATGGTCAAGTGARGAGACTGGCTCTGAGCCAGCCTTGCTGCTCTGCTGACACTTGCACACTGGAGTTTGCCTCGGATGTGCAATATTTCTGCACATTTTGTTCAGGAAATACGCCAGAATCTGAGTATTTCAGAGTTTTCAAGAAGTTACATGCTGTCACCACTGACGTGCTGGATTGGCATTTTGGAGTCTAGCTCTCCCAGTCTGCACTTAGCAGCTAGTTAAGTGAGCTCACACATGTCTTTTTCTATTCTTCTGGGTCATGCTGGCCCTGTCTAGAAATAGAGATAATTTTCATTGAAATGGAATATTCAGAAATCTACTGACACTGCAAAAAACTGGGTGATGGTATTTGTGGTAAACCAATTGGGAGAAAACCAATTAGGAGTGCAGTCTGACTTTCCACTTTAAGAATGGCTTAGACCTGATCAGATGGACTTCTGTAATCCCTAAATGTAAAACATCAYGATTTATCCAATCATATGGAAACGAATACAAGGGCAGTATGTGGCTGCAGCTTTACAGGAGGCAAAGCAGTGTGAGCTGTGCTCCTGTGACACCTCAGAGCTGAGGTGCAGGGCTGGGACAGTGACTCTGGGTTTCTGTGCAGAGGGCACTGTGAGCAATGCTTCCCTAAACTCTCGTCTTGTTCTCCAGCAGAGCTGTCCCAGGGATCCCCCCAGACGGTACGAAGAGACTTTGGCCTGGCTGTAACTCACAGGTGAGCAGCCCAGCAAGGCWGGGGTGGCACAGCACTCTCAGATGGGTTTGGGGTCGGGTCGGGAGTTGCAGTTGTCAGGTTCAATCTTAACTCTGTGTTCCAGTGGGTGCCARCCTTCTTTCAGTTGGCTTTTGATCAGCAAAGTGAGAAGTCTTCACCACAGCAGCTCTTTTTCCAGAAAGAGCTGAAGTACAGCCTGTAATTACCTACAGATGTTCATTTTCCCTTGGCCCCAGTTAACATCAGTTTTCCCCCTCTTGCCTCTGTTAGGTTCTCTACAAAATCCTGGTTATCTCAGATTTGCCAAGTGTGCCAGAAAAGCATGATGTTCGGGGTGAAGTGTAAGTACTGCAGGTGAGCACACAGGATGATCTCCTTCAGCACAGGCTGTAACCAGGCTCCTCACAGCCTGCAGTAACTCGTGTCTCTTGATTCCATGCACTTTCATCAGTGCCATGGCTTTTTCAGTCCTTCTGCCCAGGCAATTGGATGYTTTGGCACAACTCACACTGTGGGCACATGAGTGAATCAAATTTTTTTCCCTGCCACAGGCTTCCTACCTCATCCTGGGCAAATTTTGTAGTTGGATCCCTAAATAACAATCAGGATATTAATTTKTCGTGTCTCTCAGGCTTGTTAATCCACAGCACTGAGATTTTAGTACTTCACTGTTGCTGGATGAGAGTCAATGAAAGGAACTCTATTAAAAATAAATCAGATGCTAAGATATGTGTGTGGCTTTCATTAGCCTAATGACACACATAATGGGATTCTCCATACGAATGCCTGCTGCTCTGGGGCTGAGCATTCCACWACTCCTTCTGAGATTAGCATAAGAATTACAAATTAAGGGTAGGCTTCTCCTTTTTGGGAAAGAACAAGTTGCTATTTAACATGTAATGGTTATCTTTCAGATTAAAATGTCACAACAAATGTACTAAAGAGGCACCTGCTTGTAGAATATCCTTCCTTCCCAGTAAGTAATTCTCTACAAATTCTTGGCATTTCAATTAATTGATGGTATGGCAAGAATAAAAAGYCTCATTAAAGCTGTTTTTCTCTCTTCTCCAACCTGTTTTTCAGTAGCAAAAATTAGAAGAACAGAGTCTGTCCCRTCTGATATCAATAATCCAGTAGACAGACCCACAGAACCCCAGTTTGGAACTCTCCCCAAAGCACTAACTAAAAAGGTACGAGGTGGCTGAAGCGTGTCCCGAGGCCCTGGGGGGCTAAAACAGGGGGGGTTGGAGCTAAGATGTCACCCTGAGCTTTTCCTTTGCAAGACTTGGATATGTGACATTTTCTCCCTGTAAAACAGGGGTTGTGCAGAGCTCCAGCTGCTTACTCAGAAAAACATGATCGGGAGCAGCTTCCCTCTGTTCAGCAGACACTGAGGGCAATTCCTCCTTTCTCTTCATTGTTTTCTCACCTCGMTTTGCAGGAGCATCCACCAGCAATAAACCACCTGGACTCCAGCAGTAATCCTTCCTCTACAACCTCATCCACTCCCTCTTCTCCAGCACCTTTCCAGTCTTCCAACCCTCCCAGCGCGACGCCTCCCCCAAACCCTTCTCCCATGGGCCAGAGAGATGGGAGATTTAACTTCCCAGGTAAACTCCTCTGCAAGAAGAGGATGGCCAGGAATTCATAGGGAGTTGTAGGTTCTAAATACATGGTTGTGCCTTAAACGAGGTGTGAAAGTGTACCTTGTTACTTGAGATAATGAAAAGATCTGTTCTTACAAGTTTTTAAAAGGTATCAGCAAGGTGTCTTTTCAAGAAACAGATTACTGAGGAATGTTGACACCTTTCTTGGATGATTTGGTCTATTTTCTCTTTTTTGGAAAAGGACTGAAAAAAAAATGCTACTTTTTCTCCTGCCTTTCCCCTTGTGTTATACAATGCATGCTGCCTGAAGTGTGTGCTCACCAGGGGCTTCCAGTCAGGAGGGAGGTGCTTGCTGAAGCAGGCAGTAAAAATGGGAACTGGAATGAATTACTTTACCAGACCCTTCTGAAATATAACCCACAATCAACACCCATTTTAAAACCACTGACACACATGACTGGTGGAGWGGAGTTTACCCTTCATGCCCTATGGATTGAGAGCCCCAGTGTACAGATTTTACCAGAGCTGAGAGGGGCAAGAATCTCTGACAAGGCCAAAGATCTAAACAGTGAGAATAAATGTAATTCCTTTGACCTGCAACTGAAGTCACATGGTGCTCAGTAGCTGCTACAACATCTGGCCTTCAACACTGCTGAATTTTGCATCAGGTTCTGGGCTATGAACTCAAGTTGCTGTTTGAGCCTGCTCTAAAGGAGCAGAGGCATTTTAGTGTAAGGATTCCACTGCAGCTACTTTATTGGGACAAACTGCTGTGATTCACTGAAAAWATTAAAAAGGCAGATGGTTCATGAGCTTCAGCTTCTTGGGGGCACTACTGCAAAGCTGAGATATGGAGCACATCACATCCCACCTGATGTAGGCCTGCCTGGCACATTCCTGGGCTCTCCCTTTGCTTCTGCCCCTGTGGATCCAAACGTGCTGTTGCCCACCAGGCTGTTTGGGAGTGGTAGCACAGCTTGTGTTTGACACCTATCATCTGTCAGGGCCTTCCCAAAATGCATGTGCTGAAAGTGCCCCCAGCAGCCTGATAATCCACTAATCTGTTCCCAGCAGTGACCTGGGACTAATTCATTGAATGCACATGGAGCACTCACTGATGATCCTCTAACCTGTTTGTGTTGTTCTGTTTTGTTTTTTTTTTTCTCCTGGTATTTTTTTGCTGTTCCTTTTTTACAAAACCCCAATTAATAAAAAAGCTGCCTACTACCTCCAGCATAGACAACAGTTTGTCTTCCCAGGTGAGTTGATTGTTTTAAATCTACTAACCAACTTCTACTGCCAAAACATAACTTGTGTGTAAACCTCTGCATGCTGTCCAAGAACAATCATTCTGCTTTAAAAAAGCTGCCTAAAATAATCCAGACTTTCTGTTATCTCAGTGTGTACTCAGGCCTCTCCCCCCTAATCTGAGGTAGTGGCATGATTTATGTACTTCGAGTATTTATCTGTAGAACATTTGTTTTCTGCTGTGGGATTCTATGCASATCCATGTTCTTCCTTTCTAAAGATTCACTTTTAGGTTCTGTGCCTGGCTAGAAAGACTTTACAGATAAGTGGTGGAAATGGAAGCTAGCCAACATGCAGGCATAGCAGASATGAGCATAGTTTTAAATGAATTGTCTGTGGTTGAGTTTATAATTCCTGAATAAGAAGCAAATAGTTGCTATTGCTGTGTTAAAACTTGCAGTCAGCAGGAGATTGAAGTGTAAACGATGTATCATAACTGTTTCTACTTTCCCAGAAATCCCCAGTCCTGCACAAACAGCACAGCCTTCAGAAACTGCTGCAGACACTAAGTAAGTAGAGTTTTAAATCCTATCATTTGCACAGTGTTTACCTGGTATTTCTCAGGTCAGCCCAGAAGTGCTGTGTTATGGCCAAAACCAGATTTAACACCCAAGAACTTCCAGGATAACTTCAATCAGGGATAAGGGTGATTTCTGGTATTCCCAGTTTTATGAAGCTGAATATGACACAAATCTAAATGGCACACTRAGGAGTCCAAGCCTTTAAGATCTGGTTCTGGTTGTGTGAAGGGTCAGATAAAACAGAATTCAGTGTTTTGTATCTCAAAGGGCAAGGCACACTGARCTACCAGCAAAGAGCTCTTTCAAGATGCCAAGGGCAGGGCATGGAAAAGCTTCCAGCCTGCATTGCCAGCTGCTCCACTGCAGGTGTTTGAGGGGCAGGAATGGGAGCATCTATTCCTGGAACACTRTAATAACAGAGCCATGCCACTGCCAAATCAATTCCTGACACTTAATTATCAAGAATTATTTCCAAGTCTTTGTCCCTCATTTACCAAAGTGAGCTTAGAGTCCTTCTCTGTTACATGGAGCAGGAATTTTGTATTTTTCTCTGACCTGCTGTAACGCTGTCAGGATCTGTTCTGTATTGGTTTCTTGGCAGCACAGCCCCCCATTTCCCAATATTTCAGCTGTTGTTTTCACTGTTTCTGTTGCAGTGCTGCCCAGCAGCCCAGCACGGGCGGAGGTGCACGGGAAGCACAGGTGGGTTTGCTGTTTGCCCCACAGGTCTCTGCAGCAGCYTGTGCTGCTCTGGGACCCCAAACACACCTTCCCTTTTCCTGGGCAGGTGGAGGAGCCAGAGGTCAGTAAATCAGAGCCTGAAGATGATGAGGATGAGGTGGAAGATTTGCCCAACCGGCGGCCGCACCTGCAGGGGATGATCTACCGCAAACCCAGCCAGACCAGCGTGTACCTGCAGGAGTGGGACATCCCCTTCGAGCAGATCCAGCTGGGGGATCCCATCGGCCAGGGCCGCTGGGGCAAGGTCTACAAGGGCAAGTGGCACGGGGAGGTGGCCATCAGGCTGCTGGAGATCGATGGCAACAACCAGGATCATCTCAAACTCTTCAAGAAGGAGGTGATGAACTACAGGCAGACSCGGCATGAGAACGTGGTGCTGTTCATGGGAGCCTGCATGAACCCCCCTCACTTGGCAATCATTACCAGGTAAGCAGAGRGCACCTTGCTCTCAGTTCTCCTGGTGGGTATTACAGAGCTAGCCAATACTGGTCTCATATATGAACATTTCCTGTAGCTTCTGCAAAGGAAGGACGCTGCACTCCTTTGTGAGGGACCCCAAGATCTCCCTGGACATCAACAAAACGCGGCAGATAGCACAGGAGATCATAAAGGTGAGGGTTTGTGACACSAAGGGAGCCATTGGGCAGGGCCTCAGACACAGCTCAGAGGCTGCACAGGACTGGGAGCTTCCCCCCAGCCTCTCCCCACACCTTCCTGCACAAAATCACAGGGGCTGTGCCTCCAGTTACAGCTAATCCCTGACACTGCAGTTAGGAGAGATGTGTTAAAAAGCAGAGCGTGCTTGGAAGTGATAAAAACCCCAAACCATTTCCATCTCTRTTGTGTTTCCCAGGGCATGGGGTATCTGCACGCAAAGGGGATTGTACATAAGGATCTGAAATCCAAAAATGTCTTCTATGACAATGGAAAAGTTGTGATCACCGACTTTGGATTATTTGGAATTTCAGGTGTGGTTCAGGAAGGAAGGTAAGTGGAAGTTTCAGTGCTTGGTTCCACYTCTAGAGTGACAAATAATCAAATAGGGAAACATTTCCTGCAGTATATGAGGAGTGTTGGTCAGTTTAGTACACACTCAGGTTGCACTGTGCKTGTTTGCTTTGTTTTCATTTTGAGCAGAGTTCTTCCTGCAGTCCCAGTAGCACAGGCAGAGAGTTTAGATTAAGGCTCAGAGCACAGAACAAACAAGACTCAAGCCCAGGAAGGAGTTGTGAGAGTCAGGCTGACTCGTGCTTATTTGTTAACATGGCAAGAAAATTAGAAACCAAACATCAGCAAAAACATTGCAGTAAATAAAGTCAAAGCATCAGGTGAAGCACAGTTACAGCCCCCACACCAATGGTTTGGTCCTGCTTCTTTCTTTTKGGCTCAGGAGGGAGAATGAACTGAAGCTGCCTCATGACTGGTTGTGCTACCTGGCYCCTGAGATTGTCCGGGAGATGGCCCCAGGGAAAGATGAAGACAAGCTGCCTTTCTCCAAAGCTGCAGACATCTAYGCCTTTGGGTAAGGAAGGAACACCCAGGGGTCCCATGGGAACTTGCAAAGTGACATTTTCCTCACCTGCTGCAAAAGTCACGGGTGGAAGGGGTTTGCTGCCCAGCCTTAGGCACCTCCCAGAGCTCAGCTGAAGGAGCTGGGGCAATGCCAGGGTGTGGTGTTTCCCCAGAGGAGCAGGCAGAGCCTGATGTGTGTGTTGGTGTTTGTTGCAGGACCGTGTGGTACGAGCTGCAGGCTCGGGAGTGGCCGTTCAAGAGCCAGCCTGCAGAGGCTCTCATCTGGCAGATCGGCAGCGGCGAGGGAGTGAGACAGGTCCTGGCCACTGTCAGTCTGGGCAAGGAGGTCAATGTGAGTCCCTGAACTGCAGGAGCCCCTCTGTGTTTGTCAGGGAGGGAGGGGCTGATTGTACTCATAACTCTAAAGGGCAGGAAAAGAGCCCAGATGAGAATGGAGACCGGTCAGAGGCCAAGCCTGTGCCTGTAAGTGGGGCAGAAGGGAACATCCCCCAGCACAGGACACTCTTGGATTCTGACAGTGTCCAGGCCCTCTGTGAGCAGGATCTGCTTGGGCTCACACACATCCCAGTGCTCAGACAGTTTTCTGCACAGTTGACCCATGAACTGAGATAATGAGCCATTGCTGTCCTCTGCAGGAAATCCTCTCWGCCTGCTGGGCCTTCGACCTCAGTGAGAGGCCCAGCTTCACTGTCCTCATGGAAATGCTTGAAAAACTGCCAAAACTGAACCGCCGGCTCTCCCACCCAGGGCACTTCTGGAAGTCTGCGGAGTGAGTACCTGCTGCTGCTCACAACACTGATGCCATGCAATTTGTTAACTGATCATTCTGAGCTTTATTTGCTTTCCTGGGGCTGTCAGACCTGACAGAGCAGGGGCACTGCTCCTCCATTTCCTGGGAAGAGATACAGCTGAGCCATGAGCCTCACACAGTTCATGTCTTACCTCACCCTATTCACCTCCCTRAGCAGCTGGCTGATCCAGCTGTTTGGTGTCAGAGAATATCCAAACAGCATTGGGAAGGGCCCACACTGACCCCAGAGTGGTCAGGACGTCCCTGTGGTGGTAATAATGGCAGTACTGCCTGAGGAAGGGAAGGCCTGAGAACATGCCACTGTTTCCTCTCAAGTGGTTCAGACTGGATGAGTTTGAAGCCACAGGCACATTTGCACCCAGTGCCCATTCACCATCTCCTTGACTCAGGAGAACTGCTCATACTTTGTTTCTCTTTTTCCTTTCCCTTTCCCCTATCTTTCACCATCTTCCTGCAACACCTGATCACAACCACCCAAACTCTTGACACAGGGACTGTCTTAGCAGTTTAGTCTCTGCTGGGTGATGAGGCTTTGGAGTTTTGGTTGAAAATTTTGCCACTTCTCCTGTACAATTGTTTGTGCTGGATGCCTGACACACCAATGATGGGCAACAACCTTAAACTGCAGAAAGCTTCTCCCAGTCTCTGGTCCCACCCTCACACAAAGAACACACACTGAGCAGTGGAACTCTCCGCACCTCAGACAGATCCTTTCACTGCACTAACCCCTGCTCCAGCCTGGTCGAAGCTGTACAGTGTGTAATTGCTTTAAATAACTGAAAACTAACTCTCATGGTGAATTTTTCCCTTCCCTCCCATATTTCTCTGTAGGTTGTAGCTACTGGTGCAATAACGGGCTCCACCTTGCATGCTTCCATGTATCGTATCCTAACCGGCAACCTGGACAATCACCTTCCATTAAAAAAGCAAAACCAAACCACGAAATTAACCCATGGACATAATCAACACTAGCCGAGTTCTCCTCTCTGCCTTTCGCTTGGTGTGGGCTGTAGCTTCAATAACCACTCCTGTCTGCGAGACCTTCCTGGCTAACACCGGGCTCCTCTGCCCCCGGAGCGTTCCAGCAGCTGCGACTCCTCCTGGGAAGGGCACAGGGACCTGCTCTGACTGACCAGGTGCACAGACAGCCAGGGCTGGGTGTCCTGTCCACAGCCAGGGCTGG